GAAAGATTACACTGAAAGTACACAAAGCATTTAAACAATTAGAACCCTAAATATGATTCTATCAGGACTATTTTGTAGTTTTTATATAGTTCTGGGGCTGGGGATATAGCTCAGTTGGTAGAGTGCTTGCCTTGCATGCACAAGGCCCTGGGTTCAATCCCCAGCACCATAAAAACAACAAAAAACAAAACAAAACAAAAAAAAAAAAAACAACACTTGTTCTTTTATTGTATCATGTGATTCAAATGTATGATATGTCAAAGCATTGTACTGTCATGTGTAACTAATTAAAACAAATAAAAAAAATAAATAGTTCTGAAAGTTGTGATATGTTTTGATAGATGCCATTTATTTATTTAATTATTTATTTTAGTATAGGGGATTCAGTACAATGGTTCTTAACCACTAAGCTATATTCACCTTTCTATTTAATTTTAATTTTAAGATAGGGCCTTGTTAAGTGCCTAGCCGGGCCTCAAAATTGCATCATCCTGCCTCAACCTTCAAAGTAGCTGAGATTATAGGCATGGTCTTCTGTGCCCAGCTTTATCTGTGTCTTTTAAATTTATCATCCTGGGCACATGGATAGATGTTTCTGCTTTAACTAAAAGAATCATGTTCTGCATTTCTGCCTTAGTCTCTTTTTGTTACTACAACAAAGTACTACACAATAGGGAATTAATAAAGAATACAAATTTACTTCCAACAGTTCTAGAGGCTGGGAAGTCTTATTAAGTCACTGTTCGGTTTAGTACCTTATGAGATTCTGGTCTCCACTTCCAACAGAGTGCCTTGAATGCCATCCGGAAGGAAGGAAAATTATGTATTCTCATAGCTGAAGGCAGTTGGCCAAAAAGTGGTAAAATGTCTGTGAATCCCTGTCGCAAAAGGCATATATTTCCATTCATGATGGTTTACCCTCATGACTTCATGACTCACTCACCTCCCAAAGCCACGTCTCCCAATACTGTTGCATTGAGGGGTTAGGTTTCAACAAGCACCAAAGTTTATAACTTGTGCCTCTGGAGTGATGACCTGAGCACTGCCTTTCCCTGCCTGAGCCACAGTTGGGCAGCCCAGAACTGCTGCACTTGAATGTGAAAAGCAGACATGAAGTGGCCATGCCCAGGCAGCTCCAAGGCTCCACAAATGCCTTCAATTCCCTGCCTCTAAATTGTTCCATCCATTGGCCCTGGAACTCTGACTCTATTAAGAGTATGGCAGATTTGAAGACCTCTAAAATGCTGTTAGGGTCATTCGTATATTGTCTAGATGAATAGCAGCTGACTTTCTTCTGTCCATATAAATCTTATCAAATGGTTACCTGATCATAGCCTTAGTTTTCTCTCCTAAACACACTTTTTAATTCCTTACATGACCAGAGAGAATTGAGAATTTTCCAAATATTTTTCCAAAATTGCTTCCTTTTAAATTATAGTTGGACCACAACTTATAATGGTGTTTTATCAGTTTTGCATCAATATGTCCAAAACAAGAACCACTTAGAGGAGAAAATGCTTATTTGGGATTCATTGTTTCAGAGGTCTCAGTCTCTAGATGGTTGATTGCATTGCTATGGGCCCAAGATGAGGCGGAATATGATGACTGAAGAGCATGGTGGAGAAAAGCTGCTTACCTGTGGCAGCCAGAAATCAGAGGTTGGGGAAGGGAGAAGAGCCATCAGGAAGATGCACAATTTCAGGGCATGGGCCCCCACTGACCTCCATCTTCCAAACATACCCCACTTGCCTATAGATACCCTCAGTCAGTTCATTTACACTAGGATGGACTGATTAGGTTATAACTTTCTCTATCCAATCATTTCACCTCCAGATATTTCTGCATTAACACAGATGCTTGGGAGGTACCTCCTTTTCAAACCATAACTGAAGGTTCTACTTATTTTTTTAAAAAATTTTATGATGGTGAAAAGAGTTATACATATTCAGCAGAAACTATATTTCAAATTTTGATATTTCCCCCCGCTACTGATTGGCAGTTGTGGCAGTAATCTGTAGTTCCCAGTTAGTTATGCAATCATGAGCATCAACAACAAATATTAAGAAATGTAAAAAATTGCCATTTTTTTGAAGATACAAGAATCCAATGAATCCCTGAGATGTTCAATACTTCATGTTATGGTTTAGATGTGGTGTCCTGCAAAAGCTCACCTGTAAGTCAATGAAAGATGGTTTGGAGGAGAAATGAGTTATAGCCTTAACCTAATCATTGAATTAATCTCTGATGGGATGTACTGAGTGATAACTGGAGGCAGGTGGGGTGTGGCTGGAGAAAGTAGTTCATTGAAATCATGGCTATGGGATATATATTTTGTATCTGGCTAGTGGAGTCTCTCTCTGTGTTTTCTAATCACCATGTGAGTTACTTGACTCTGCCATCATCTTCCACCATGATGTTCAGCCTCACCTTGAGCCCCAAGGAATGGACCTGCCTATCTGTGGACTGAGACCTCTGAAACCATAAGCTTCCAAGTAAACTTTTCCTCCTCTACAGTTGTTCTGGTTAGATCATTTAGTCACAGCAGTGAAAAAAGCTGATTAAAAATAGGGCTTATGTTAGATGATTTTTGACAACTACAGTCTGAAATAAATATTCTGAGTATGTTTGAGGTAGACTAGGTTAAACTATGATGTTTAGAAAATTAGATGTATTCCATCCATTTATTATGATGTAAAACCATTATGATTTGAAGAGCTTATATATGAAAGCTGTCCTTCAATCCTTTGTCTCTTCCCACATTTTGCTATATGCAGTTAAGAGAACGTATGCAGTATCACAGACACTTTGCTGCTTGTAGCGTTCTTATACAATATATCCTAGTTCATCACGCTGAAGGTCTACCTTCCATGAAATACTAGGACATGGAAATAATTCAATAAAATCTTTGCCATTTTAACAAGAGTGGCCTTTCCTCCAGGTTCTAATACCTTATTCATCTGTATCATCTAAGATATATCAGAATAGCCTTCTTCACATTCTGCTCATGACCTACTTAAGAAATCTCTAAGGAGAATGTGGCTATCTCACAGCTCTCCTTCTGAGACTTACAAGAATTGCCTTTAACGCTCTCCTCATGACATCCCAGATTTTTTCCAACATTCATTTCAAAGTTGTTATAGCTTCTAATTGGTACTTAGTTCCAAAACCATTTCTACATTTTCAGGTATTTGAAACATGTCGCGACCCCTTGCCCGCAAGGAAGACGCAACTCGGGAATCTTCTTTCAACAGTTTATTCAGGCCCTGGATATTTCTTCTTCTCCTCTTGGATGCCCCTCCCAGCCTTAATAAAGCATCCCAAGCCCCAATGCAAAGCTGCCGTGTGGAGCTTTCTCACAGGGTGATGTACAGGGTGGTGAAAAATCATGTGCCAACTCTCCCAGATAAGGAGTTGTTTGTCACAGACCACAGCGGAGCCAGCGTCATCTTGTAATGGCGACCATAATCTGCAGAAACGGCAGAAGCGGCTCACCACAGTTCCCCCTTTTCTGTTTTCTTAAAACAATACAGGCGAGAGTAGAGGTCCTATCCCACTGTGCAGAAGTGGCTGCATAGTATGACTCAGTCCTAAGGAGGCGCCTTCCCCAGATCTGAAGCCATATCAGCCGACGCCTTTTTTCGTGGGGCGGGGCGTGGACGCGTCTAACCCGCATGCAATAGGACATGCTCTCCTTGAGGTCCACGTCAAGGATCACTCAAGTGCAGTGCCTTGCCTCGCATCCTATATCGTGACGATGGTGGACGAAGGGGGATAGCTGAGGCTGAACTGTGGCTGTTTATAATGACAAACAAGTTGACAGCACCCTGAAAGAAAGGCACGGACTTTAAGGCGATAGAAAAGCACTAGTGTGGAAACCCATCTGCGTGCAATGGCAGTAATACCGGCAGAGTGCAAGGGCTTTCCAACACTAAGAGAATAACAAGGAAAGTCATGTCGATCCCAGTGCAATGTTATAATAACTTGGGGTGTAACGACCATGACAAAGGTTTACTGCTTAAGATGCGCAAGCCAGACTTGAGGCGAGTTGCCATTTTCTAAAGCTGCAAGAGCTTGTATGATCATAGCCTTTTCTTGTGCATGGCGAGTTTTAAGGCGACAGAGAAGCCACAAACAAAGCACAACACTGAAGCAACACATTGCACCAAAAATGCCTACTCCCACCCACTCTTTGAAGAAGGAAAAAGCAGAAGATATCCAATCAGTGAATTGACCCAAAGTCACGGGATCGACACGGGTACTGTTCAAGACAGCTATCTGGGTTAGTTGAGACTGGATCATGTTTTCTGCTTCCATGGACCAGGTTCCGGATGGATACTCCCCGATGATGTGGGAGGCATTTCTGGAATCATAAAATCTGACAGAGGTTATACATAAATGTGCACGTTGATCAACACAACCCAAATGTACTAGGTCAGACAATTCCTCAACTTGAGCTTGAAGCAGATCTATCCTTTGATTAGCAGCCAGAATCCCAGATAAAATGTGTTGATTAATTCTACTTTGAGATTCAAGTATGGTGGATGTTTGTTGAATAACCTGATTAATAGTGGCAGCAGTTTGTACCTGGCTGGCCATGGCTACTCCAGCTATAACTGCTGCAGCAGCAGACACCGCCACAGCTGTCACTATAGCTGCCGTAATTCCAAAATCTCTACGGGCTCTAATCAGTTCAACAATAGGAAAAGACTCTGGATCTGCAGTAACCGGGATCGGGACAAAGGTTGGAAATTTCATAACCATTGCCATAGGCCAGGATCCATTCCAACACTCAGACAAATAACAGGTAATATTAGAACAATTAAGCATCCCCTGTAATGTAACATTAGCCAAAAGAAACAGGAACGGAGATTGGAGATGGACTGCTGCGGAGGGTAATGTAGCATTAGATAACTGTGAATTATTTGCAGAAATTTTAAGCCTCCTACCTCGCTCCGAGTCTTGGGTACTTCCAGAAACATTAAACAGCCAACTTTGGACTCCTAATATTTCCCTGGGGAAACACAAGCGCGGACTAGACTAGCCCAATCTGAGGGAGTCATGCAAAATCTAGTAAGTCCCTCCACCTGAGTGAGAGTGAAAGCGGCATCTATGCCATAAGTGCGGACAGATTCTGCCAAGGTTTTAATTATCTTAAAGTCTAAAGGCTCATGATATCTTCCCCTGTTATTGTCCTGAAATACAGGGTATGCAAGTCCCATATCTGTATTAACTGTCCTCCAAACTTGTGCATGAAAAGATCTCCCGGAACCTTGGCTCCCCCCCACATACGGAGGTGGGGCAATCGGCACCATATCTTCTTCTAGATATTCTACCTCCTCCTCCTCAGAGTTTTGTTGACCGATGTTAACTCCCTTCCCCTTCTTACAGTAGGCCTGTGTGCCCTGTGTCTCCTTTTTCTTCTTTTTCATTTTTATCTTATGTAGTTGTTGTAACAATATATCAAGGTCCTCAGAACTCTCTGAGTCGCTTGTGTTCTCAGGCGTTTTTAATTCGGTCAAGTCTGGGTAGAGCCTTCTCCTATTTTTATCTTCAGGCTCTTTTGCCTTCTCACTACTGTTACTTTTAATACTCTCTGCCACTTCACTACATGATCCTTCAGATTTTTCCTCATGCAGTTGCTCAAGAATAGCTTGACCCTCACTCACAGCTTCCTGGCATTTACCATCTGTTATACATCCTCTAACTAACTTCCAAAGTAGTATAATGCCACCCTGCAAGGTACCTTGCTCATGAGCGAAATCTAGATCTTTCCCTAATTTGTCCCAGCTGGGAACCGTAAGACTCCCTGAAAAAGCAAACCAAGGAGCCGCGATATCAGCTTCTCTTAAAAACATCTGCAAAGTACTCTGCTTTATCTTAAGTCCTTTTGAATGTAACAACCCATCTAGGGCCAACAAAATTGGGCTTGAAGAAGCAACGCCCATAATGTTTTTAGAGCTATAAAGAAAGTGAAAGTACAAAAGTCCCCACTCTCTTCCTTTTACAGGGGAGCGTCCCTGTCATCACAACAACAAAAGAAGCACAAAAAACAAAAGCGAAATGACACAACAACAAAAGAAACACAGAAAACAAAAGCGAAAGTAGAAGCAAAAGTACACAGTGCAGCTGCAATAAAATGTAATGCTCTCTCTTTACAGAGGAGCTGCCCGGCTTTGGTCGCGGATCCCACTTACCTGGGACTAACCCCGCTTTGATCGCGGATCCCACTTACCTGGGACTAACCCCGCTTTGATCGCGGATCCCACTTACCTGGGACTAACCGGTGCACCACCCCTGACTGTTGAAAGTTCTGGTTCCCGGGTCTCGGCACCACTTGTCGCTACCCCTTGCCCGCAAGGAAGACGCAACTCGGGAATCTTCTTTCAACAGTTTATTCAGGCCCTGGATATTTCTTCTTCTCCTCTTGGATGCCCCTCCCAGCCTTAATAAAGCATCCCAAGCCCCAATGCAAAGCTGCCGTGTGGAGCTTTCTCACAGGGTGATGTACAGGGTGGTGAAAAATCATGTGCCAACTCTCCCAGATAAGGAGTTGTTTGTCACAGACCACAGCGGAGCCAGCGTCATCTTGTAATGGCGACCATAATCTGCAGAAACGGCAGAAGCGGCTCACCACAG